GAGAGAATAGAAGTCTCGTAAGCAAAATTTGCTTAGTAAGTCACCATTACATCCACTAAAATAACGAAGTCATAGCTAGCCATAAATAGATACAAAAGCTAGAATACTTAAAAGCACCTTGCATAACCACACACAAAACATATAACATGACAAGCAAAGTTTCAAGTATCGAACTAAAGAAACGTTTCCTTATACATCATTCTTTCTTCTTCACTTTGTCCTTTTCATTTATGGGCCCGTAACTCGTGTCATGGCCCCTCGCCGATGACCTCGGGTAGCTAACCCGCAGCCCATCAGAAGTAACCCCGGGACTCCCCGCGGGAGGATGTCCCGCTACGCTCAACTCTGGTAGTTACTTGAGGGCACGACTACCGTAAAACATTACTTATAATTACTTCATACAATTTATAAAACTTGAATACTTCATATTCGATAACACAATAACTTCACAATTTACATACCTGTCAATCCATACATCTAACTTGGAGTTTACACAAATCTCATGCTATACACTTCCAAGTAATGAAGCAAGTATATCAATTCATAATTAGCTAGACATCCATAATTTATTTAAAACTATCATGTATAGGTGGTGATGACTTACGTGTAGAAGCTGAACTCGGATTACTCAATTAAGTGTGGCACCTTGATAACGTCTTCCGGTAAGCTCTTCTCTTAAATCTTTTGTTAAATTTAACAACATAATTAGAGTGGAGTATATCTTAAATTAAACACGACAACCAAAAATTATAACTTGAACTGTCTGGATGGCTATAGAAAATTAAAGAAAACACTATCCTTAAATTTGAAGATCTTTATGCAGCAGCTCACCAAAAGTATTAGTAGTTAATTACTTAAACGATCATACAACCTCATGCTGGAGCACCCAAATTTGTCACTTACAAAACAGCCTCATCAATAAATATTAAGTTAGAATTCAGCTGCTATAGATTTTAAAACCAAATACTACAACCCCTCCTTGGTATGCGCTTAACCAGTTTAACATAAATGTATTATGTATGTATAGTTGAATATCTTAACCTCCTAGATGAACTATGCAAACTTGCCATAAATCTAAAATCAACTCGCTGCCCCTAAACTACTGCCTCCAAACTTTAAAACAAATGAACCGGTTGCCTGGGTTTTGACAACATTAGCAACAAAATTAGGTGTTGTCTTGAATCCTACTTTTTCCAAATTCCAAACGGACAACAAGAATTCAGCCAGATTTCAAAAATCAAGAAGCCTAATCCAAATATATGTTTATGTATAACTAAGAACCAGACCTTAGCAGCGAAAATTGTCCGGCCAAAGCCGCCCTCTCGTTTTGAACATAACTCTAAATCATAAGAGTAAAACCTTTAGCAAAAGCATAGAAGAGTGATAATTAAACTTAAAAGACAAGAGGCGGTGACACAATTAAGGGACCAAGGAGCTTCGACAAAAAACCAATTAGAAAACCTTTGGATGAAGAGAAAGAAAGGGGAAAACAGGGAGATAAGGGAGATTGGTTCCCGATCGATAATTAAGCGATGCGGCTACTGTTGTTGGTAAAAGAAACAAAGGTGGTGTGTTACGTGTATAAACTACTCTTTTTAGGGCTCTTAACCAAAACACCTATTCGGCCAAGATAACTGATTTGGGTGTCTTAGTCTGCTTAAAAAAATGCTTCTAGTTTTGAAAGTAGAATTTTAACTTGATTAAAAAAACTATTTTAAAAATAAATATAAACGGATAATTTCAGCATATTATTTACTTATTCATTTATGATTTCTGAAGCTTACCGGTCAACGTTACCTACCATAACAATACATTATTAATAATAATCACATTATTCATAAAATAAACTTATTTAACTGACTAAAAATGATTAATATAACTAGCTTACTAAAATCGGGGTGTTACAACCACTCTCACCTTCTGGTTGCCATGTTGCTTCCTCAATTTTGTGGTTTCGCCACAATACCTTCACCAGCGCTATCTCTTTGTTCATTAGTCTCTTAATCTCGCGGTCAAGTATTTTCATGGGCCTCTCTTCGTAGGTCATATTCGGTTGAGTCTGTACTTGTGGAGGTGCAAGGATATGTTTTGGGCTTTCGAAATATCTTTTGAGCATCGAAATGTGGAACACGTTATGTATACCCGTCATCTCTTCAGGTAATGCTAACTCATAAGTGACTTTACCCACTTTCTTGGTAATTTCAAATGGTCCCACAAATCGCATACCAAATTTCAACTAAAAATTCAATCAGGAAGGCAGTCAAATAAATTTCTGAAATATACTGCGTAGTTATTGTGTAGTTATCTTCAAAAATCATCAATTGATTGTCTTCTTGGTTGAATTTTTAGCTGAAATTTGATATGTGTAAACTAGACTTAATGAATAAGAAACTCAAACAGTTTCATCAAAAATTTCTACCGGAAACCTCCCCAAATAACCATAACCGGGCTTTAGGGGCATCTACTCTAGACAAATGTCTAGGGCCCCCAAATTTGAAGGGTCTCCAATTTTTTTAAATCTGCCTAGTAGTATTATATCTATATTTAGTTAAATTGTAACTGGTTTTCAATTTTAAAACCTAGGTTAGTGGGTTTCCAACTCCACACTTGGGCTTTCAAGTTTACGACATTCAGACCATTTGGAGTGGTGAGGTATTAGGAGTCCAACATGTTAAATGTGGAACTTTTGGACTCCTAATTATGTGTAGTGGTGGTTTATATGGGGTATTAAAAGTGGGAAAGGGGATTGAAGGTGTTAAATACAGAGGGTGAGTTTAGACTTTAGAGGAGTGGAAAAAGAAAAAATAAAGAAAAAAGAAAAAGTAAGGCACGGCCGCATGTTTTCTTTTGGTGAGAATGATGTCATGCTGGCGTCACCATTGCATCATTATATCCCAATTTTTTAAAAACTTATATAACTTTTTTATTTGTCATTTAATTTTTTCAAAAAATATATCAAAATTCATAAATTTTTATTATATTTCATATGACATCCATATGTGATATATAAAATGATATTTTTTTGAAATTTTAACTGTTGCAGTTTATTGAGCTAAAAAAATGAAACACGAATTTTAAATTCATGAAACCTTCACAAATAGTTGAATATTCTATAATCAAACTTCACTTAAACAAATTCATTTTTTAACAGAAAAATGTTTAAAAAAAAATTATGAAAATTATTTATTTTTACATCAAAATGTGTTTTTTTATTTCATAATTATTTAGGGAAAAAAATTAAAAGTAAAACATTACTTATAATAATTTAATTAATGTTTTACTAAATTCATATGTAAAAAATATGCAGAGTGTATTTTATTGACAGTGCACGGATGCAGGGAAAAACAGTATTGACGCACTCTAAATACTGTTTTCAAATGGACGGAGTCCGAATTTAACAATTTGGACTCTTGACCACTACAAATGGTCTCACACGATGACACCTATCACCCCTTCAGATCGGTTCAACACTACGTGCCCAATGTCTTCTATCTTCTACATACTCACTTATTACACACTTAGAGTTCGGTTTCTAACTATTTTTCTAGGTTTTAGATTTGTTAAAACTTTAAATTATTTATTCATTAATCTTGTAGTTGTGTAAATAAATAAGTTGAGCAAAATAAGTGGTTGACTTGGTGTATTTCAGAAATCGTGATAGAAACCTGACATAGTTTTTTAGACTGAATTTTCATTTTTATTAGTTGTGATATCATGTAGTTGGGGAAACGGATATTTTTAATTAATCTTTTATAAGTTGAAATTAGTTTTGTTTAGAAAATTAATCTAGTGCTACCTATTATTTAGTTTATTTTTTAAAAAATAATATTTGTTTATTTATTGAATACTTTCTTACTAGTGCTACTTCGGTTGAATATTTGCTACCTATTATTTAGTTTTTAATCACATATGGGGATTTAATTTTTTATCTATCAATTATTTGCTTGTTTGATTTACTACAATCTATTATTTTGGATGAATTGTTAGTTTTGTGGTTAAGAAAAAAGGAAACACAATTCAAGTTACATAAAAAGAAATAATAAACAAATAAAAGACTTGGTCTTACAACATTCTCCTTCAAACATTGTTGACAAAGAGATTTAAATCTCGTGTTTGCGGATGATTCATCATTTCATCATTTTCATTTACCCAGTGCTACAAAAGCTCCCACCTACGGTGAGGTAAGGGGGGTCAGATGTACGCAGTCTTACCCCTGTATTAAAACACAGAGAGATTGTTTCCTAATGACGCATAGTGAAAATTGCATCCAAAATTGCATGGACTGACTGTTGCTTCATAACAAAGAATCACAAACAATTTAGTGAGTCATAGTGTTGCGGATGAGTGTGAAGAAGTATTCTCTCTACGTTAAGAGTATATTGTGCATTTTACATGTAATTCATAAACAAAAAAAATTTGAAATGAAATGTAAAACTAAGTTCTATTTGATTGTCTAGAGTCTCAAATTTGTTGTGGATGGCCCTGCAAATATAGACCAGACAGAGCCTCCTAAGTAAGTTCCATGACTTATTTAGTACTTCTCCCAATATATACAGAGTACAATTTGTCAAAATTTTGAATTGGCCAAATATTTTGGAAAAATTGACAAGAATAATCTCACCTTTCACTGGTCTTCTCATAATAATCCCACCTTTAAATAATCCCAAAATAATCCAACATTTGCACCTCATCTTCTTTCATTGAACTCTGACCATGTTTTTTACTCTTTCTTTGAAAATTATACAAATAATCTCATCTTTCACTTTTTAATTATATCCTTATAAATGTGAGATTATTTATATAAGATTTTTAAAAAAGGTAAAAAAAACTTGGTCAGAGTCCAATAAAAGAAGATGAGGTGCAAAGGTGAGATTATTTTGAAATTATTTAAAGGTGAGATTATTATGAGAAAGACTACTGAAAGGTGTGATTATTCGTCGGTTTTTTCTACATTAGTAGAGATAGTACTATGTACTACGTAGTAAACACTAAACAGGCTCCAATTAAACGCAAGCAACCTCAAAACCCATCGCCGCCCCATCCTCAGTCCCCTGTGCATCTCGCCACAGCCTGACAAACTAACACCGCCGGAGCTTTTGTCCGTGTCTCTAGGTCATTGACCTATTCGGTCAACCATACGCCGCCTAGCTTAACTTTCACCACGGCCTGAGCTGCAACTTTTGTTTTGTTTTTTTGCGTCATCTTCTTCGTTGCAGTGCCTATTTGCTTGTTATGCTTTTAGCCTCTTTAAGGGCTACTTTAACACTGCATGCGACGGCAAGGTTTGGACGGTTCGTTTCTGTAGCTTATAACAGCACCGCTGTCGGCGGTCTAGGCTGTTTCAGAACCATGGGTAAACTTGGATCTGATTGTGGTTCTAGATTGGATGCTTCCTCGAGCTCAGAAAACAAAGAAACTTCCTCAAATGTTCAGTCCACACCGGAAATTGAGAAAAAGTACGTCCATCGTGTATATGATGCAATCGCCCCACATTTCAGTTCAACTAGGTTTGCCAAGTGGCCGAAAGTGTCCGTTTTTTTAAATTCATTACCAGTGGGTTCACTTGTTTTAGATGCCGGTTGTGGAAATGGAAAGTACCTGGGGTTGAATCCTAATTGCTTCTTCATTGGTTGCGATATTAGTGCTCCACTGATAAACATATGTGGCGATGGGGGACATGAGGTATTAGTTGCAGATGCTGTGAATCTCCCTTATAGATCTGGCTATGGTGATGCTGCAATTTCAATCGCAGTCTTACACCACTTAAGCACTGAAACAAGGAGGAGGAAAGCTGTTGAAGAATTAATACGCACAGTTAAAAAGGGAGGACTTGTTTTAATCACGGTTTGGGCTAGGGAACAGGAGGATGGATCATTGGTTAAAAAATGGACACCTCTTACAGATAAATATCTGGATGAATGGGTAGCATCAAACGGTCCTCAGGTCCGATGTTCTTCACCTCGCTCCTTAGCAAGCATCCCAGAGTCTGAGGACAATGGCCATTTGGTTTCTGGAACTGGAAAGGATTCTTCTATAGATGAGCAGCAGGAGTATTTTGTTCCTTGGCATTTACCTTATCATCGAGCTGAAATAAGTGGAGCCTCTGCGTGTGCCCTTGCAAGCGGATTGGCAAAGAAAGACGATAAGAAGGGGGCTGTTGTGTATAACAGATATTACCATGTCTTTAGTGAAGGTGAACTTGAAAGGTAATGTCATCTTTTGTCTTCTGAGTTGTTAATCTTGCTAACTCGTGTGGATTAACTATTTGTCAAATTTTGGATGTTCTGTAATGCTCACAAGTTTTGGATATTCCCTTTTTACTTTCTTTTACGGCTCCCCTTCATCCTGACTAATCCTGAGTGCCATTGGCCGAGCTACCACCGAGTAGCGATTTAACTACTTAGTTATTACACAAGAAGAAAATGATTGCTAGTGCTTAAATGGGTATAATATCAGCACGTGGAGTGCCATGTGTGACTTGCAGTGTAAAATGTTTTGAATGAATTTTGAGCTTGAGGTGTCACTTCTTTTTAGTACGTCGAAGGAAAAACTATCCAAACTAAGGCGTGTGACTATCTTTTCTCTCTTAGTTTTAGCAAGAATATAGCCCATGGAAATTTTTATTTGTTATCACCATATTTTACCCAAACAATAGGAAGAAGAGTGACAAAGTGAAATGTAAACCATAATAAAATGTGTCCATCAAACGGACACACTTTTGTTACCCTAAAAAGTGACATAAGTGAGTTGGAAGACAAAAGATGTTTTTACTTGGAGTGAAATTTTATGGCCTGGTCTTGTCTGATCTAAACTGGTCCAGTCTGGTTTGGGCAATGTCTGGTCTATGTGTATTTTACAACTATCGAGGTTTGGTTTGATCTGGTCTGGTCTGTTTAGTCTGGTCTGGGATTGAAATAAGTCCAACTAAAAACATGCAAAGTTCAATTAAATTAGTGTCTTCCCTACTCCCTAGTTTTTTGGGATCATGATGATATGAGAGTTATCTACCTTTACACTATAAAAACTTTGATGGTCTAGTGTCGGATTCCAATATGAAGTAAGGGCTGTTTAATGGATCCAAGAAGCCCTGGTTTAATGATATGTTAAGATTCATGTTATAAGTTAGAAGAATGTAATAGCTGTTCACAATGAACAGTTTTATCTATGTAGAAGAACTTGTGCTTGAAAGGGATGATATTCTTTGTGTTTTTTGAGATGGTGTTCATCGTTACTGAAAGGGGAAACTGAAAAGAATTACAAGTGAAATAGGCCAAAGGCCATGGATAATGTGTAAAGAATCATAAATGTTGGCTTTTATAATATAAACTAAAGGGCTCCACTTGCTGCATTTTATCTTTATCTCATGTTATTCACTTGTTGCATTGTTTCTTGGGAGTTTCTTTTGTCATAACGTCACTTCGTTCCTTAGTTTAGCTTTTCAAAGATTCACAATGAACTTCATTATTTGGGGCCTCCCAGATTTTCAGAACCTGTTCTGTGGAAGCTAATTAACTTGCTGAAAGATGACTCCTGTGTGCAGTGGTATGATGTGTGTGTCGAACCATTAAGAGATTTTGCTTCTCAATAGTTCAATTTTAAGGCTGTGAAGTGTAATAAGCTCCACCAATTGTTTTTTATAGCTGTTACTTAAAATTTAAAGCTGGATAGTTTTATTAGATTTGGATATTCTTTTCTGTCCTTTTTAGCATCTATTGCTGTATGGTTATGTTGTAATGATTCTTCATAAGTTTAGATGGGAGGGTGTTTTCATAATGAACTACTACAGAAATTCCACTGTAAAGTTTGCTCAAGGTTTACCTTTCATTTTTCTCGCTCTTCTCCAGGTTGGTATCAGGATTGGATAATGCAGTCATTGCTGATAGATTCTATGATAAATCAAATTGGTGCATTGTCCTTGAGAAAATATCTTGAAATGAACATTTACAAGCTTATATTTACTTGTGTGGGGAACTTGCAGTGAGGGCTTCTCATATCTTGATATCTACAGGGTCAAGAAAACTGTTGAGCGTTTCTCGAAAAAAAAAAAAAAAAAAAAAAAAAAAATGTTGAGCGGTTATGAAACTAGATAACTCTGTTTTGCTTGCCCATGGCATTGTTGTATGGAGCTACTAATTGCCCAACTACGACTTGGAATGTGAATTTGTTGTGCATTAATCATTTAAACAATTTTACTTGAATTGTGTTCTCTATGATGTTATTTCTTTTACTTCTTTTTGTTGGGCAATTCAAGGAGAATTTTTGGATTTATTTCCACACGTGAGACGCCCACTCTCGTCTTAATCAGAAATTTGGAAGTTCACAATAGGAAGTAGAGGGCGGAGCATTATACAGATGACGGTGAGATTGAACCACATTGTGAAATTGAGAATGTGTCCATAGGTATCTGCAGGATGGGCCTTTGAAACGGGAAGAAACACCATTATTGCATGATGGAGTAAAGAACTAATAAAGGCAATTGATCTAATAAAATTGAGTCCTTGTTGTACGGTTGTACCCACTTTTGTACACACATTTGTTATTTGTACATTTGTCTGTGTAGATAGACAATTGGGAGATAAATGCTTGGGAGATAAGTGCTGCATTCTTCTTAATGAATTGCCTTTGTACACAGACAAAATAGGGGAGTGGGTACAAAAGTATGTACAAAACTAAGTACAAATAGATATTTTGAATAAAATTATAGATGGGACGAAATTTTAAGTATTCAAAAACTTGGTGTATAAAAAGTGCATCCTAGTATAAAAGTAGTGCATTAATCTGCATTAGGGCTAGATTCGGGTCCGGTCCGGGCCGGGCGGGCCGCCGGTTCTGAATAGGTGGCCCCGGGACCGGCCCGGGTAGTCACTGGGTCTGGGCTGGGCCTCGGGTCAATTTTTTTTTTCCTTTTCCTAATTAACCCCCCCCCCCCCCCTCAAGGCCTCACCCCCAACCCCCCAAATGGCCCAAATGCCCAGTCCAACCAGAAAAGTTAAAAAAAATTGAAAAAAGAAAATTAAAAATAAAAAGCCCGAAACCGGGCCGGTCCGGCTTTTCGGTGACCCGAGCCCAGACCTGGAACCCCCCGGGCCGGGCCTACCCGGACCGGTCACTGGTCGGGCCACCGGGCCGGGCTGATTCAGCATAGTATCGGTCCCAGGTCGGTTCCGGGTCGGGGGACTAATCCGCATCAAAGGTGTATTATATTTCAAAAAGAAATGTACTAGAAACAAAACTATTGCAAGTTTGCAACAACTCCTAGTGAATGGCTGTAATAATTCTTAGGGTATGTTTGGTTCAGGGAATGTCAGATTACCACGAGATTGTCAAATTGCTTGATATGTTAGATTGATGAGCATGTATCCAATTTATTCCCATTTGTGTTTGGTTAAGATTAAGGGAATGTGATGTTAATTTACTTGGTTGAAAGATATCTTATATTGCAGATATTGTAAATTTCTTCAATGCCCTTTAAATATTTTATCTTAGGGTTTAATCTTAACACAATAAATCTATTACAACCTACATCTAAATAATTAAAATTAAAGAAAAATGAAAAATCTTAATAATAAATAAAATCAAACCTAATTTAATTATTTTTAAGTAAACTATGTTTAATATGATAAAAAAAAAGTAAACTATGTTTAATTGTAAAAAGTTGTAGATCCAATTCAAAAGTGAAAAGAACTTTGTTCAATCTAAATATATTTATTATTATTTAAAAAAAAAACTAAATTTAAAAAATTGTTAAAGTTATTCATAAAACTTCTTTTCAAATTAGAGAATAAATGATCAATTTTTCCATTAAATTTTGAAATCCACTTATAAAAAAACTTAAATAATATAAGTCTTATAAAATAAATACCTTAAAAAATTTAAATGTTTAGGAAAAAAGAATTATGAAAATAACAAGAATAGACATTCGAATATAATTAAATAAACATACTTCATCTGTCCTACTTAAATGGTTGTCACACAATCTACGGTCGACTGACCATTAAATTAACTGATCTCTTTCAATAAGAAGATTATTTTTTAATAAATATAATTTACATATTTAGAAATTACATTAAAAGTTTTATAAGTCACACTATATAAAGAAATTAAATGAAAAGGGATAAGTAATTGAGGGTATTTTCGGAAGATAATTAGGCCATCACCGGGAATGTAAGATAACCTAAGGCATGGGTGGTTATAAGATTCCCCTCCATATTACATTCCCGGGAATGTAACTTTTCCGATTATTCTCAAACCCGTGAACCAGACATGGGTATCTGAGATTCCGTGCATCACATTCCGACCTTCATGTGAGATTACCCCAAACCAAACATACCTTTAAGATTTTAATGGTAAACTTCTTGCATTATTTATCTAGATTTCGAATTGAAATTTTATCCTGATTATTGTAATGAAAAGTTTTTCCAATTCACCCCGTTTTACAACATCTAACAGTCTAGATATATTTTTATTTTTCATGTCAAGACTCAAGAGTACTTTTTCACTTGAACCTATCCTTGTACATTATAGTTACACATTGAGCGGGTTGAGGAGAGTTGGCTATATTTCACATACCTACCCGTTTCAACGGGTTAACTACTAAATAACCCGCATGTATGGAGTTTTTTTATCGTAAAGCGTTTATATCATTAAAATAACATTCAACAGGGGTACAAGAACGTGAAAGGACCACATGTAATCATCTGCCCTTGGCCGAGACTCTGAGTTAATCACCTTTGACAAAGCAATATAACTCGCTAGACCTAACTTGGGCAAATTAAAGCTAAAGACGATTACCGTAAACCTCTCAACCCTCAATACCAATGCAAGAGTTTTACAATACAAAAAGGAGTAAAAACAAAACATGATAGTCTGATCGTGGAGTAAAACGAAAATAAATAAAATAAACTGAGAGGGCAACCGAATCCATGCTTCAAAAAACATCCTCGGCGGTGGCTCAGGAGGGGGACGGATCATCAACCTTTCATTTTGAAACATTCCTTTCAAACCCACCACCACCACAATTTCCACTGACATCTTCTTAATCCCTATGATTATAGCCCGAACGAACCCGAAATCCATGCTTACCTTCCCAATCGAAACCAGTGGTAAAAGAGAGGAGTCCATAACCTGAACAAAATCATGATCCAAATCTGCTTTCTCCCGAAACGCCCGACCCCAACCCTTCCTAAACCTAATGGCGAGCAAGTAAGAGCGAAGCAGAGAAGGGTCGATCTTCAATCGACAAGATTGAAATCGGAAACACGACCTACGGCTCGCAGCGCAAGCCCTAGGAGAAACGACCGAACTTCGACCAAGGAGATCGAAATCGGAAAAGTGCCTAGCGGCGATGCCCTAGGAGCTCTTGAACTTTGCTTAACGCAGAAAGACGAAGTCTTCACTTTGGTCCGCATGTATGGAGTTTAGAATTTAAGGAAGTAAAAAATTGTCTCAAATATGAGTAAAATTCTACTAAATTTCAGAATAAGATTATTGTGTTTTTATATTTTAAATAAAAATAATCTATTCTCTGTTTAATATTAGTATGCTTTAAAACATGACATTATTTTTCAAGCTTAACATTTTTTTTTAATATTTAGGGTATGTTTGTGAGTTGGATTTTGGAGGGGAGAAGAGAGTTGATGAGGGTTTATGACTTTCATTTTCATGTTTGAGAGTTTAAAAAATTAGAATGATGATTTTCAGCATTTTTGTTATCCTCCAAAACCCTACATACTCAATTTTTAAATTTCCCAATTTTAAGAATAATTAATGAAATAATAAATTAAGCTTAAAATTTAATTTAAATATTTGAATTCTTCTTAAAAGCGATTTTAATTATAATTCATTCAAAAGTTTATCTTCAAAAGTCATTCCACGGTCTTTCCCCAAAGTTCCAACCATACCTTAACTTTGCTGCTCCGCTCTCCAGACTCCACCACCTGGTTATACTCCGTATAATCGAAGACTACATCTTTCCAGACAACCTGTGACTCGAAGTTGTCGAGAAAATATAATCGAAGACTTCATATTGTAGAATTTTAAAAAGTTTTCATTGTCATTTTAATGTATTATTCATCTTGTTCTTGACAGTGGCCAGCGGAAATGGAGTTCACCTGTTCCGTTGCGTCTCTGAGTCCGTGCTTTGCTTCTGGAAACTCCGCCCGGCCACTCCCTCTCGCCTCATGTTTACCGCTTCGGTGGCGTTCGTCATGTCTGACCTCACCATCTCCAGGTAAGCAGGCCGCTTACGGTTTTTCTTGATAGTGATTTTCATTTCGAAGAAGAAGAAAATGGTCGCTTATGTTAGCTTAAATTTCCTTCCTTTCATTAGAGCCTGCTTATTGTCGAAGTTGGGACTATTTTTGATCGCTTCTTTATTGTTCTTAGTTAAACCCTCCTAGAATATTAGGTAAATTTTAGGGAATGCAATTGGAAATAGTCTTTTTTGGTAAACTCGAACGTGAAATCATTTGAAGAAATGAACCCGAAGATTATCATCAATTTTCGCATTTCTTTTTCTGAGTTTATTTCACTGCTGTTACAGTGTTGAAGTCTTGAAGATGTTTTCTGTTTGGAAATGAATGGGGTATGGAAGGACGCTGTATATCACTGATTGGTCACACCATTATATTTATTTATCTCTCATTTTGATGACAGTATTTTATACTGTAATCATCCCAAATGTGAATGATGTCAGTGACTCAGTGGCATGAACTATATAGTGTCAATTCATAATTCATAATTCAAAGTTTGTTAACAGTATAAACTAGGAGGTGACCTGACTTATGGGGTTCGTTATTCGTTAATATGTACTGTAATGATATTTGCAAATGATTCTGAATATGACTAAAACATAGTTCATCTCCTTAAATAACTCCAACTAACATAGACATTTATGTATGTAGCACTTCAATGCTATTAGGGCATCTCATTGTTTGGGGTATTAGCATCAATGTCCCGCCCAAGAAGGCACATTGGGTGGAGAGAAATATTAATATTGATTTATTAATTTGGTCTGTTGTTAGGTTTGTTCTTTCCAAAAATAAGGTTGAAATCATCCCTTGTTCAATCTGTTGTTGCTGATACTGCTAAAATACTAAGCATCTCTGCTAAAGAACACAATTCATGTTGTGAAGAATCTAAACCTACTACTACTGACTACAAAGCTGATGCAAAAGAGGAATATGTCAGAAAGG